GAATTTTATTTTCTTACACCAACATTACAACATTAAACTTATTATACTTCGATTTTTAAATTTAATTTTAAATTTAGTAAAAATATACTTTGAATTTAATTTAAATTTAGTAAAAATATATTTTGAATTTAATTTAAATTTAGTAAAAATATTTTAATTTAATAGTATAATATATCGATTTAAAAATGCGTCGCATTTCTTTTATATTGTCTTTAGTTCCTAACGCTAAATAAACACAATGAGACATCAAAATGATTAGTGCACAAACCTTTTTCCCACGAATACTTAAAAGATATACTGTATAAACCGATTTTTAAAAGTTTGAATGGTTTAAAAAGTTTAATCAAATTACAATTACTATTTTTAGCACCCTATCCCAGGATCTACTGTACTTCATTCATCCCTATAAAGGAATAAATCGCGAAATTTTTGAAATATGAACGATTTTTCATTTTACTTTAAATACTTTGAATTTTTTTTCGAAAAAAGAAAAAAGAAAATAAAAATAAAAATAAAGATAAATTACAAAAACTTAACATTCAATGAACGATTATAAAGTTCAAAATGCCGCAAGATCAAATGAAGATGATGAAAAACTTCCGAGTAATTCCGGAGGTCGATCCAAATCTATATATAAACCTGTGATGAAACCTCCATTACGAATAATATCCACTTCATTTTTTCACATCTTTCGATTTGCAACATTATTTGATTATGTTCTCATGACATTAGGAACGTTCTTTAGTATGATAAGTGGTCTGATAATACCTCTCATGTCGAATTTCCTTGGCGACATATTTGAGGTGTTCACGGAAAGAGAGACTGGAATTATAACCAAACAAACATTTAACCAGCGAATCAATTCCTTGTTACTTAATTTTACACTGTTAGGAATCGTATCTTTTATACTTACAACGTGCATGATCACGTGCTGGTCGTGGACTGGTGAAAGGCAAGCAAAAAGAATGAAATTGATTTATTTTAATTCCTTATTAAAAATGGGTATTAGTTATTTTGAAGTAAATGAGGTAACCTCTGGCGGACTATTAGCAAGTATGAATAAAGATACCGAAGACATAAAAACCGTCATATCTGATCATTTAGGATCCTTTGTTCAATATGCTGTCATAATCATAAGTTGTTTTATATTGGCCTTCACGAAAAATGCCATTCTTACCCTCGTGATATTAGCTTCGATCCCACTTGTCTTTATTACGATCGCTTTAACTTCTCGTAGTGCAAACCCATTAATCGTAAAACAACGTGAACTTTTTGTAAAAGCCGGTAAAATACTTGAAAATGCCCTCGCAGCCATCAAAACGATTCGCGCATTTAATGGCGAAGCAAAGGAAGAAAAGAAACATTATGAATGCTTAAAAGAAGCAAATGATAACGTATCGGCTCGTCTGGCATGGGTGTATGCCATTAGGTTGGGACTAATACAATTTTTGACCTTATCCATATTCGTTCAAGGATTTTGGTTTGGTTCGATATTGGTAGCTGACAAGAAATTGGCACCGGGTGGTGTTGTTAGCGTATTTTATGCCAGTTTATTAGGGTTAAATAATTTTGAGTATTTGTTGCCCAAGTTTATCGCAATGTCAAAAGCGAAGAATGCTATACGCGTCATAAATGAATTGTTAGTGTGCGTGTCAAAGGTGAATTTTCAACATCTGAATGGTTTTAAATTACCCGAGATTAAAGGGAACATAAAATTCAATCAAGTCAGTTTCTCATACCCTAGTCGTCCGGATACGTCAGCATTGAGAGGGGTTACCTTAAATATTCCGGCGGGAAAGACGACCGTATTTGTTGGACAAAGTGGTTCGGGTAAATCCACCATAACTCAATTAATTCAAAAACTTTACGAACCGAGCGATGGTCTGATCTTATTAGATGAACGTGAACTAAAAATACTTGACACCACGTGGCTGAGACAGCAGATCGGTGTGGTAAGTCAAGAACCCGTTCTCTTTGATGATACCATTTTCAAAAATGTTGCATATGGTAGAGCCGATTATTGGAATGTGACGATGGACGAGGTCATTCAGGCTTGTAAACTCGCGTGCATTCACGACACTATTGGATCCCTTCCTAATGGTTACGAGTATCATCTAAGCGATATGGGTAAAAACCTTTCCGGAGGTCAACGTCAAAGAATTGCGATCGCTCGAGCCATAATCAAAGATCCGAGCATTCTTATATTGGATGAGGCAACAAGCGCGCTTGATTTGACTTTAGATTTAAAAGTACAAAAAGCTCTCGATAATTGCAGGAACAATCGAACTACGATCGTGGTCACGCATCATTTGAAACGTATTCGTGATACGGACTTCGTTTACGTAATGCACGAGGGTGAAATCGTAGAGTCCGGAAAAAAATCCGAATTATTGAATCTTAATGGACATTATAGTAAACTTGCAAATGAATATCCCACAGATCCAAAACGTAATACGCATGAATTGAAAAACATTGATCTTAGATTAAAGAGACATTTTACGTTTGGTTTACCAAGTAGTCCAAGAATGGGCTACATGTTTGCACCAAAGGCCACCAGAACCACCCTTAGACGTTCTCGAAGAATTAAAAAGGATCGAACGAGTTGGAATCTCGATGAATATAGTGATGATGATAATGAGAAAGTCAAAAGACATGCGACGCAAAGAACCATTAATGATATTATGGACTATTATGAGAATGTGAGTGACAAGCCCGCGGAAACATTCTCTGATAACCGCAATACTCTATATGATATACTTAGTTATTATGAGAAGAATAATGATGATGAAGACATTGTAAACGTCATTGTAAAAAACTCCGATGAATCATCAACTACAAAACAGTCCAAATTGAACATCTTTAAATTTATAAGAGAAACTATGGATAAAAGAATGCTTTATGCGATTGGAATTTGTAGTGCATTAGTCGAAGGAATTACGAATCCCGCATTCTCATTTGTCTTGTCAAATCTATTAAGTACGTATTCAATACCAGACAAAAATGAGCTTCTCAACAGTTCAAGGGTATATGCCATTTATGTACTTTTAATTTCCGTGGTATTGGGAATGTCCGCATTTTTCAAGTTTTTATTGCTTGAAAGGGCGTCAGAAAGGTGGACGGTTCGTTTAAGACACATGGGATTTGGAAATGCATTACGTCAACCGCAATCATGGTTTGATAAATCAGAAAATGCTACGGGTAGATTGGCTACGATACTTACTTCAGATATTCAAACGACGAAATCTCTAATTGGATACTTTGTCGGTAATGTTATCGTTGAATTGGTTTCACTTGTTGGTGGGACGATTTGGTCTTTGGTGGTGGGATGGCAATTAGCCTTGATCGGATTCGGATTGGTTCCCGTTTCAATTATATTTTCGGAATTCTCTAGCCGCATTTTACAAAAGTACGATTCCAAACAAAAGATTGCAACCGAAACTGCGGCAAATGAATTTTATCAAGCCATCTCAAACATTAGGACCATTTATTCGCTCGCCATTGAATCGGTCATGGAAAGTAAATTTCAAACGGCACTCGAGAGACCTTTCCTGATTGGAATTAAAAGAGCTTTTATCTCTGGTTTATCGGCAGGATTTTTGGACGGGTTAACATATTTAACCAAAGCGATAACGTTTTGGTATGGAGCTCAATTGATCTCTCAAGGAGTTTACGATCTTCGAAAGATGCTGACGGTTTGGACTTTGATTATCTTTTGCACATCGTCTGCTTCGCGAATCCTTTCTACAATCCCATATTATTCAAAGTGTAAACAAGCCATCAAATCCATTCAGTACATAATTAATCTTCCTACCGTTCGGGATGACGTTGGCGTTCTTCCTGATAACCTGCAGGGCACGATAATATTTAAGGACGTAAACTTTTCATATGCTGAAAGACCTGATGATAAAATTATTGACCGATTAAATCTAACGTTAGAACCCGGAACAACCGTTGCTCTGGTAGGAAAAAGTGGAAACGGGAAATCGACCATTGCCGCATTATTACAAAGAATTTATGAACCAACATCCGGATTGATCACGTTAGATGGTGAGAATATTAAAGGTATTCAATTAAAATGGTTAAGAGAGAATATCGGGATCGTTAGTCAAGAACCGGTATTGTTTGATATGACCATATCAGAAAATATCTCGTATGGAAAAGATGAAGCAACGCGTGAAGAAATCGAGATCGCCGCCAAACAAGTCAACATGCATGATTTCATTTCATCATTACCAAATGGTTATGAAACAAAACTTGGTTCATCAGGATCTCAATTATCAGGGGGAGAACGTCAAAGGATCGCTATCGCAAGGGTTCTTTTAAGAAATCCAAAGATTCTTATACTTGATGAAGCTACAAGTGCATTGGACACAAAAAATGAGTCTTTGGTTCAAGAAACTTTCAGCAAGGCTCAACAAGGTCGTACCATTTTGATGATCACTCATCGTTTAAAAAGTGTGAAAAAAGTGAGTAAAATAGCGCTAGTGGAACATGGAAAGATTGTAGAATCTGGCAATCATAAAGAATTGATGTCCCTTCGTAGAGAATATTTTGAATTAATAAGGAGTGACAATTCATATGATCATTGATTCTCTTCCTTTTTTTTTTTTACCAAAAAAAAAAAAAATTTATAGAATAGCATTTATTTATTTTTATTCATTTATTCATTTACATATTTATTATATTTATTTAATTCACTTGTATAGTAGTATATATAATCATTCATTTGTAGAAATTAAAAGACAGTATATTTAAATTAAAGAAAAGTTCTAGAAGATCCGGTAATTATCTTTCTTTAAATGGCAATTATAATAAAATAATAATTTGGTGGAATGGCTGAGTTCATTCAACCGCCCGCCATGATTTGATCGAGTGGCTAGTTTATGTAACCTCAGTTTATTAATAGACACAGACTAAGAATGATATAAAAATGATCTAAAATCCTTAACATTAACTTAATTGTTTTTTCGCCAACGAATTCCGAGAAAAAAAAAAAATAAATGAGTAGTTTAAGTGTTCCACCCCCCTCAGAAGGGAGACAACCTACGTTTCTAGATACTCTTAAAGGTTTTACCAAGGATAATTTATCCCATGGTGTTCGTAGTAATCTTTCTAAACTGGACCCTAGGTTACCGGAAGACTTGAAGAACATTACTCTCTACTTGAAGGAAGAGAAAAATGTTTTGACGAGTTTACAGAATGCTGCAACTGAAAGAAGAGAAGGTTTGTTTACAACAATCATTCGCCTTAAAGAAACCAAGGATTTTTTTTTGTCTTGCTTCATTGGAAATGTATTTTAAATCATTATTCTTTTATACATATATATTTAGCGAGTAAATATATTTATATATGGGGAAAAGATAGTGGCGATGACATTGCCGTAAGTGAACTTAATTATAAGACATTAAAAAGTATTAATGAATGCATCTCGCAATATTGACGAGTCCTTTTTTTATGTATATAGGATATTACCGAAAAATTAGCTGATTTATTAACGAAAATTTCAGACGTTGAGATCGTAATGACCGGTAAGGAATAATGATTAAAATAATTGAAAGTATGATCCCAATTATATTTTTACCAACCGGAATTTATTTTTCGTATTTACAGAAAAATATGAGCATTATAGAAATATTATTAAAGAAATTCGTACAGCTGAAGCACGACTTATCGTTCATAAAGAAAAAAAACGAAAGATTAACGATGAAATAAACAGAATAATGAAGTCACATCCAAAATCACCTAGAATTGCCGAACTTGAAGCTGATCTTAAAATGGTTAATCATGACGCTTTGGCTGATGAAAATGATGTTGCCAATATTAGAAGAAGAAAATTTAAAGAAGCGATAGCAGTTCATTTAAACGCTACATTTGAAGCGGCAGAAAAAACTGCTATTATTTCTGGTTTTGGTTGGGATCTTGTTGAACAAATTGATGCAACTCCTACTAGACCTGGTGAACAAAAATTACCATATAAAGGTAAAAAAAATAATTTGAAAAATCAAGGGAAGTAGGTTCAATGATTGTGTCGATTGAAAAAAAAATTTTTTATTTTTTTTATTTTTCAGGTCTCGAGATAACTCAACAAACGATTAAAGATTGTCAGCTTGCTCTACATCGTTGGCAACCGTCCTCTTCAGAAATTAGACCTATTTTACCAACTTTAACCAACACTGCTCCAGCACAGTTAGCAGCTCAAAAAGCGGAATATGAAGCAAAAATTAGTCAACTTATGACCAACATGAATGCTTTGAAGGATGAGCATGAAGTTCAAGTGACCGGATTTGCTACAAGTTTAGAGAATCAAAAACGAGATTACGAAGCACAAATTAATGAGTTGACCTCTGCTTTAGCGGCACAAAAGGAGGGGTATGAAGCGCAACTTAACGATTTATCTACCGCATTACAGACAGAAAAAGCGACCGCCGAACGAAAAAGTGCTGATGCGGCATCAGCTCTTGAATCTCATAAACAAGAATTTAATACCAAATTTCATGAAATTTCTGCAGAACTAGAAGCTTCAAAGAAAAAATATGAGGAACAATTAAAACAGTATAATGCATTAATTTCTCAAAAACAAGAATACGAGATCGCGCTAAGAGAAAGAGATTCGATTATTTCAAAACTTCAAGTCGACGTTAATGGTGTAGCAACAGAAAAAGGGAAGTTGAGTCAAGTGATAAAGGAGTTGGAGGAAACCCTTAAATCTAAATCTACAACAATTGACCAAAAAGAAGACAAGATTGGTAAATTAGAAGATGACATTTCTAGTATAAAGGATCAGCTTGCAGGATTAAAAATATCACCGGCGATTACAACGAATCTTTCAGATCCTTCATCTTCCACCCGTAGCGTTGTGGGACACGTGCCAGTTTTATCGGAAGGCAGTACTATCAGTGAAGAACCACCTAATACCACTTCTTCAAATAATTCTACAGAACTAAATGGACCTGGACCTACTGCACCACATGTTCCTCCACAATTTGGTGGGTTTGGACCTCCATCTCAACAAGGATATTATGGTCAACAATATTATCAACAATCGTTCTATAATCCTCAACAACCATTTTATGGACAAGCTCAACAAGGTCAAAGTCCTTATGGCGGTTTTCAACAACCTCCTCCGCCAGGACAATTCGGTCAAGCCGCTCCTTCACCGCAACCACCGAGTGGTTTTGTTGGTGGATTCTTCCTTGGACAACCTGACGATGCACCACCAGCTTACGATGGACCGCCAAAAGAAGGTTTGCCTGAAGACAAAAAAGAGAAAAATTGAGTTATATAAAATTAATATAAGTTATTATTATTTTAAAGATTTTTATTGCATTTATGTATGGTATATATTATTAATAAGAAAAGTTTATATTAAATATAATTTATAAATCATTGTGATATTGATACTCGCGGGAAAAATATAATCGCGGGAAAATTTAAAAGTTTATTCTTCATGTACCTCATTTTATCTAAATCAAGAATGATCGGCTACAAAATTCTGCAATAACCGTATTTTCATAAGATCGAGAATCCTAATAATAATAAAAAAAAAAAAAAAAAAAAAATTTTTTGTATTTAGGTTTATTTTTTGGATTTTTTTTTTTTGTTCAACTTTTAATTACTTTTGATCCATTTAATTTTAATTTTTTTTTTTCCTTTGGTTAATTAATATATTAAATTATCATATTTCAAACAATTACTCCTTAATTTAGAATAAATCGAAATAAATATATAGACATAATTTTGTTTCAAATAACTTTAATGGAGAATGCTGCGTAACGGTTCTAGACAAATATCTGTATCAATACGTGAATGTATTCGAACGCATTCACGCTCCGAGATAAAAATAACAAAATCGATAGCAGCATCAATATATACATCAGCAACCGATACAACCAAAGAGATACCTTCAACATTTCTAAAACGAATCACGAATGGATTAAATACGGTCAAATCATCGATATTCGGAGAAAGAGAATCTGTCATAGATGATAAATTTAAAATAAGTGGAATGGGGACAACTTGGAATGAAGCGATAACGGAAGCGGAAAAAACAATTCAAGTTGGAGGAGGCACATCAGATATCGATCCATTTAAACTTTTAGATTTATCGGATTTAACGGATAACATCAAGAGACTTTTAGGAAGTGGACATCCATCATTAGACAATGTTAGTAATTATTATTTCTTGTCCGAAGGAAAACGTATTAGACCTTTAATCGTATTATTAATGTCGCAAGCAACAAGCATAGCTCCAAAACAGCATAATCCCGCTCCCATAGACCATTCTCCAATAATAAACGAGCCATTATCACCACTAATTTCATCGTTCGAAGCACAAAACTATAATGACACTACTTCATCATCATCATCTTCGAAGCACTCTCCTACGGGTAAAATTCTTCCCACCCAAAGGAGATTGGCAGAGATTACAGAAATCATTCATACGGCATCATTATTGCATGATGACGTGATTGATGAATCCGAAACCAGACGTAACAAACCTTCCGTCAATATAAATTTTGGTAATAAGATGTCTATACTGGCAGGAGATTTCTTGTTAGCTAGAGCATCAGTCGCGTTGGCTCGCTTACGTAATCCCGAAGTCATTGAGCTGATAGCCACCGTTATTGCCAACCTGGTTGAAGGCGAATTTATGCAACTTAAAAATATTCAAACATCCAAGAAAACTACTTCGGATACGACCATGACACCTTTTGAATATTACATGGAGAAAACCTACATGAAAACTGCTAGTTTAATCGCAAAAAGTTGTTGCGGAGCTTCGGTATTAGGTGGATCTACTCGAGAAATATCTGAAATTGCCTATACTTATGGTAAAAATATAGGTTTGGCTTTTCAAGTAAGAAGGTTCCGAAGGTTTTTTTTTTTTTTTATTCACTCATATACATATATTGTATTTTTATTGATTGATTCATTTATAATTTTTTACCTTAATATATATTTAAAAAAAATAGTTATTAACATTTTGTGTTTTATGTGTAGTTAATTGATGATATGTTAGACTTTGTTGTTAGTGCAAAAGAGTTGGGTAAACCTGTTGGTGCAGATTTAAAGTTGGGTTTGGCAACTGCTCCCGTATTATATGCGTGGGAGAAATATTCCGAATTGGGTCCATTGATAAAACGTAAATTTTCTCAACAAGGAGATGTGGAAAAGGTAAGAGTAGAAATTTTTCTTTTTTTTTTTTTAAAACGAATCTTTACGCTGATTTATTTGTAACTTTGATAGGCACGAGAATTAGTTTATCAAAGCAATGGAATTGAGCAAACAAAGTTATTGGCCGTTTCACATTGTCAAAAGGCCATTGATGCCATTCTAAAATTACCCGAATCCGATGCTCGTGATGCTTTAATTCAATTATCAGATAAAGTAGTGACGAGAAAAAAATGATGGATGTTTTCTTTAAAAAAAAAAAAAAAAAAAAAAAAAAAAGAATTTTTGAAAGGAGAATGAATCTCTATCATTTGCAGTAATAGCAGAATTTTGGAAATATAGATAGACATTCAGATTATTAATTAGAAACATTTGGTATTTATAATATTTGATAAATTTCTATATTAGATGACCCATTTTGTACAATAAATTGTAATTTTTGATGTACATCTTTTTAGTTTGAATGCTTTAAAGATTCAATAGACCACACTTTTCATGAGAAATCGGTGTCACGTGATAAATTTTGAAATACGATACTTTTTGTCACATGTTATGCCACTATGTCACTGGGATTTAATCAATTTAGGTAGTTTAGGTCACAGCTTTATTCTAAATTAAGTAAAGAATTATCCCACACACGGCCCAATGAATTGGATTTTTTTAATATAATTTAACTCATTTCCTTTATTGCCCATTTATATATAAACCTCACAAAAAAAAGAAATGAATAAAAAAATAATAATAATAAAAAAAAAAGGCGAGTATAATGGATGATTTTTCTATTATAGTAGGAAATTTAACGGCGATAGGAGAAAAGGAACGAACAAAGAGAAACGGATGAAGAAGGTTTTGGAGGATATAGAGGATATAGGAGAAGAGATGTTTGAAAGATATGAATTGAATTTGAAGTTGTAAATTGTGCAAGTGCGATTTTTTTTCCTTTATCAAGGGAGGAAAAAAAATTAAAAAAAAAAGATAAAATGATTTAATGTCCGCCCGCTTCAGGAGAAGAAACTTCTAATAATTCCGGTGGAAGATTTCTACTCCAAGGGTTACATTTCAAGTTTTCTTTAAGTTCAGGTACATTAGGGAAATAGAAGAATGCAACCGCGATAATGATATAAGAAACCTACAGAAAATTAATAAACAAAATATTAAATTAAAAAAAAAATATATATTTTTTTAATCTTAATCACAATAATAAATTACTTACTATAAGCATATAACCTTCTAACCAATTTGCTTTACCATCCGCAACTAGATAATTTACAATTAACACAGCACAAGCCAACACACAAATTTCCAAAGTGTTAAAATCTAATGTCAAAGGTCTTGATGTCATCCATCCAACAAGTACTAGGACTGGTGTGACCAAAAGTGCAATTTGCTTTAACCCCAAAAAGAATGTGTAAATATATTATTATACTACTTGAAATGTTTTAAAAGGATTATTTATGTTGTTAAAAAAAAGATTACTTACAACTGATGTATTAAGAATTAAACTGACGGCAGTGTCAACCTTGTCTTCCGAAGCTTCTTTAATAGCGTCATAATGTTCCATGAAATTGGAAACAACTATATAAAGAATAAAAAGAATTTGTTTTAGATCCAAATTAAAAAAAATTAAAAGCTGACATTTAAATCTTTGATAAACGTTGTCCATACCACAAAGGGGCAAAAGAACCATTCCAATAAATCCGTTACCAAAATGGAAACTGTGTGCCAAATGTTCAATACTTGTAACCAAGTATCTAGCACACACGGTAATACCTGAAATAGAAGCGACGATTCTACAAAACGTAGTTCATTTTGAATTGAAATGTAATTTTCGGATCCTAACACGGATTAAATCAAAATAAATAAAAACATATATGCTTACAAAAAGATATCAAATACAAGGAAATATTGTGCTTCATGCTTGTGATGTTCAGGATCGACGGACTAAATAAGATTAAAGCATTTTCTTAATAAGCAAATTCATTCAGTGATAACGATAATTTACAAACGAGATTATTACATCTTGAGCGTGTGTTTTCAATTGAAAGACCAATAACCCGGCATACACGAATAGTAGAATAATCGCAGTAGCATGACTAATGTTTTGTAAATCACATTCAATGCCTGTGCCCGCTGGAGCGGCAATTTTAAATGCTGCCGGTGTTACTAAAGCGAGAACTGCAAGAGCGAGTGTTGAAGCACTTGTGGAAACGAAAAGTTGCGTTTTTAAATGCGCATTCATGGACTGACGGCGATTTCCCTTTCTCGGCCAGGATCCCGCCAAAAATACGACACCTAGGATCTATGGATTTAAATACGGTTTAATTAAGGTTATGCTGCGCCATACGAAAGTGTCAAAAAAGAAAAAAATTTTGAAAAACGTACCAACAAAATATTACACAAGATGGCGCCAAGCACAGAAGAACGAACAATTGCATATTGTTTGTCCATTAAGGCATAACTCGAAATTACCAGTTCAACAAAATTTCCCGCAAAGGCATGAAGTACTGCCCCATAAGCCTAGAAAATAAAGGTCGAGAAAAAGGTTTTAGAAAAAATCATCGATATGGATATAAAAAAAAAGAATAAATAAAAATAAATCGATACTTTACCGGATGTAATCTTGCAGAGAGATCGTTTATGCCCACGGTCATAATTTTTGCCATAGGGATAATAGCCAAAAAGTTGAAGAAAAATAATACATTTTCATTTACACCAAATTTTTTCATGATGATTGCGGGAGGGAGAAAAATCAATAAGAAATTTGATTTAAACATCTGTAAAACCGCTCTCGTGTTTCTATACCATTTCACGGGACTTTTTGTGATAATTTGATTTCTTTGCTTGTTAATTTTTTTAGGAGCTTCCACATCATCAAAATTTTGGTATTTTATGGGTCCTTTCTCATTATCGGATGTATGATAAACATCATGCGGTTGATTTAATTCATAATGTACGTGAACATTTTGATGTTGGTTTCGACCATCATGTCCCAGAATACTCCTTCGTGGAGTAAGATTAGTAGTATAATTGTTATTGTTATTATTATCTTGCATCGATTCCTGACCCGTACCAGACGGATGATTGTAATATGATGTGTATGACATTTAATTTAATTTACACTTCAAAATCAATCCAAAGCTATTCTTTTAAATTCGGAGGATAAGATTCTTGCTATTGCAAGAGGGATTTGTAAAATGAAAAAAAAAAATTGAAAGGAAGGTGATAATATCCTCTATAATAGAAAAAAAAAAAATCTATAAAGAAGGAAGGTAAAAATTTTCGAACATTCAATACAAAAAATGCTAACTCCTGCCTATAAAAATAAATTTATTTCGGCCTTTTTGAAACATCATTTCTGCTATTATTTTTGCCAAGTAAATTGGTGCGACCAAATATTGAACATATTTTTAGATTATCCATATTTGTTAATTTAAAGTAATTGAGAGTCCAGAAAATGCACCAATCTTTACGATTTTGATTGTTAAAAAGTGTCACAAACAAAAAAAAAGTTCATAAAAACTATATTTTGATATTAAGAAACAATGTTCTTCACTTACGAATTAATGTTAAAATACATGATTGACATTACAAGTCATTATTTTAGGTTCTTTAAATTTATTTAATTTATTTGCCAAGTAAATCTACAAAAATAAAAACAAATTTTCTACTTTATGGTTCATCATTGACATTTATATGTCATATCGTCTCATTTTATCCTACCAAAAAAACTACTGAAACTCCCGATATGATCATATCGAACCTTCACCAAAAAAGTGATATCTTGGAATTCTGGTAATATATGGTTATTCCTCTATCATCATTGGTTAGTTTGGTTATTTTAAATATTTCACAATTATAATTCTGATTTTTTTCATCGGGTACGACAGACAGTCCGGAAACTTCTCTCGTTACACCACTAAAAAAAAATCCGCGGCAATTTACTAATTTGGTATAAATCTAAGATTCTGTGTAATCGAGCGGTAAAGTTTTAAACAATACATTTTCGAGATAGGAAAAAAAAAAAAAAAAAAATATTGTTCATTTCCTCCGCCATTATTTTTCTTGGTGTGAATTTTAATTTATTTATTCTTTCTAAATGATAATTTATTCTTTTTCCTAAACATGATTCGATTTAATCGTTTAATTCATGTTACATCTAGATTTCAATTTCATCATGTAAATTTTGTATCAAAAGAACGCGGTCAATTATATTTAACTAGATTACATTCGACTAATAATAATAAATCGAATTCGATAAATCCTATATCTCGATTGGACAAATTAACAAATGCTAGAAATCCGATCCCTCTACAAAAAAGACATTTGAACCAAGATACTAATGCGGCGGGAGTATGGGATCCTTTCCCCGGTAAGTTTTAAATTTATTTATGTATATGATGGTCTTATCATTCAACTGTTTAACTAAAACTTTCTTAGATCCTTTTCAGCCAATCGTAGAATACTCGGCAGAAACTGCTTTGGGTGATGATGAGGATGAGGATCCAAAGAAAAAGAAAAAACCTTCAGTCAAAGGTGGTGCCGGTCATCATCCACCACCACAACCACCTTTTCTTTCCCCTCGTGTAATGGATGCTGTTTTAACTACTGTGATGGGTCTAGCAGCTGTAGGTCTTGGTGGTGTATTATATCAAACATGGTAAATTTAGAAAAGATTTTTTTTTTTTTAAAAAAAAAAAATTAATAATTAAGTATTTACGATTTATTTATTTTTTTTAAAAAAAAAAAAATTAATAATTTCATGAAGGTATGAATGGAATGAACAACATAAAGTTTTGTTATCATTTACAAAACCGATCCCATTATTAAAGTCACGAACATCAGAATCATTTTTTGCCAGAACAGAACAAAAAAAAATTGCATCCGTTGTAGCGGGTCATGGTAGAGCAAAATACTTTTTACTTGTTGGTGAAAGAGGAACAGGAAAAACTCAATTAGTGTTAAATGCAATGGAAAAGATCGGACATTATGGGATTGTATTTTGTGAGGCTCATTCAGATAGTGAGGTTTTTAAAACCCGATTAGGGAGGGCCTTAAATTATACTTATAGGGAAGATTATGTTGGTCAGCTCTTTGCCAGAGAAGCCCCCGAAAGAGGTATGTATTCATTTATAAAAATAACATCTTTTGATTGAAATCCCTTGATTAAATCTTTTTCTTTGATCAGGTTCTGCTTTGTTGGATGTTGAGAAGGCTTTTAATATGGTTGAACAGGTTGCGATGAAATATGTTCGAAGAAGAGGTCGCCCATTAATTCTAATCATTAATAACATTCATGCATTTAAAGATGATGATGATGGTATAGACTTGTTGGAACTTTTGCAACAACGAGCAGAATCATGGGCCGCTTCCAGGCTTGTCACGATGGTATTTAACACCGATGATTATTCTGTTTATGAGCGAATGAGTGAGTTTATTTTATTTATTTTTTTTTCTCTCACTTATATATGAATTCTAAATGTCCGAGATGATTTTTTACATTAATCAGAGCGAGACGCATCTCGTATGGAAGTCATTAGGGTTAATGATCTGACACATGAGGAAGCCGTAAGATTATTGAAAGAAAAACGTCGGGGTCACGAATCTGATGAAGAACTTGAGAAACTTATTATGGAACGTGTAGGAGGTCGCCTTTCCTATGTAAATCGATTGGGAAGAGAAGATGATATTTATGGTGAGTAAAGAGTTCAAAATAAATGAAAATAATTTAATTACGTTTATTAAAACAAAGTTAAAATCCTTTCATCATGTAGAAACTGTAGCTCAACTTGAAAGTGAAGAAAAAACGTGGCTGACAAATCAAATTGGATTAATCCCAGATTTTGAAGAGACAGCGTTTGACAGTCAAAAATACGCATCATGTGCATGGAAATTAATTAAGGCTTTGGTAAAATCCGAAGAAAAGCAATTACCAGTAAATGATTGTAGAATTATTACGGGAAATCCGAAATGGTTAGAAATGTTGGATCATGATAATATTATCATGATCGATGACCAACACAACGTTAAGGCAGATTCAAAAATTTTACAAAATATTTTCGAAGAGGTTGTTAATCGTGAAGATTTTGATGATTTATTAGACAATGTTTGTGAAAGGGTTGAAGAGGTTGATAAGGAACAAAGAACGAGAGAGATAATATGGAGCAAAAAGAATGACCAAGTCGTCAGATTCGGACATCCAAAGAAAGAGGGTTGGTTTTGGTGAAATTTTTATTTAAAAAAAAAAAATTTTTGGTATTTTTCTGCTTTTCGTTTCCAATTGAGAGACATTTGTACGACGCAGAGATTTTATAGTTTTAGAATTTGTAAATTACCAATAAAGGGAATTTTTAATTTATCTTTATTAATAAATTATCGAAAATTTCCGTGTAACATAAGATATGGAACATATTTATAATTAATTCTCTTCAAAAAAAAAAAAAAAATTTTTTTAACATGAATTTCTTTGATTGTGATGTAATTAAGACAAAAACAATTAAGATTTATTTATTTTTTTTTTAAAAAAATAACGCGACCGTTTTTCATGTCGATCAAGCATTTGTGTCGTTGTATCGTTGCACAGCGTTTGTTCCTAACGACCAAAAACAGGTTTTATTTTTTTTATTTGCGACTGGAAATAGAAATTTTAAAAAGAAGAGAAACAAACAATTTTTTTAACTTGATTTATTATGTTTCGTGTAAAAAACGTACAACGTTTTTACTTAATTTGAAAAATCAAATAATAATAGTAATAGCAACAATAATAAGGTTAACAACAACAATAATATCGATCATATTGACATTGACAAGTTGGTCAATCACTGGTCTGATCTTTCTTGTTTTCGTCAGGCTTTGGCGCACGTCGTTCACTCATAAAATTGTCAAATTTACCCTTTAATGATTTCAATAAATGTAAATTTCTCAAAATTATCATAAATGGAACCAAAGTTCGAAAGTTCACCTTGAGAACTTGAAGGAACTTTCCAGGCTCAGTTGACGAGATCGATGTACAGAGTTCGGGCATCGCACACGCGATATCTTCATCAATCATTGCAGCTACGTTGAAATTTTTTATGACGTAAATCATTAAAACCTTTGACATTCAAATAACAAAAAAAAAAAAAAAATGGTACAGGTTACCGGATCGAGCCCCTGCGATCATTGCGGCTGTAGAAATAGGATTGTCTTTAACGTCAGTATTCATGATTTTCTTTATTCAAAAAATTATCTGAAATGATAGACAAAAGAGAGTTCATACTGTATTTATTTATATTTATTTATACGAAAAAATCGGGTAAGTTGAAATGAGTCACTGCGTTAATGACCAAATATTACCAAGTATTACTAAAAAGTAAATCTTATAGTTACTGATTATCCGATTTTATACAAGTTATATAAAAAGGTGGTAATTTTCAAAACGGGTTTATTCAACAGGTAGAATGTCAATCAAGCTTGATGATCCTTCTCGTTTCTTTTTCTTCACGCATATACTTGCGTTACTTTGTGCTTGAATAATTGACCCCGTAAAAATGTTTTTCAAGCCATCAAGGGATCTGAGCAAATAAACATGTATAACCCCAACTTGTATTTGCGTATATAAAGTGCAGTTCATATTTGATCGATTCAAAAAAAAAAAAATAAAAAAATAAAAAAAAAAACCTTTTTCTAAAAAATAAAAAAAAAAAAGGAAAGCTTTTTACGACTTTAATTTGTCCGTAATACATGATGGGAGAAAACAAAAGCTTTGACGCAACAGATTTTTTTGCTGGTCAACCAAACCTTCCAACTATACTGGAAAGTGATGAGGTACCAAAAACTTTTACGTCTTCCCCGCTTGCTTCTCCTCTAATGTCTCTGGATCAAAAGACTAATGCTAAAAGTAATACGACAACGACCTTGCCTAATGGAACACGTTCAAATACTCCAGATACAGACGAAACAGCAGTTGAAGTAGGAAATAGCACGACAAGTTCACCAAAGACTCCGTCAAGAAATAGTAGTAGGTCAAATACTCCAAGTAGCGAAAAAGGTTCTAAGCGTAGTAATAAGAGCACACCTTCTTCGCCCGTTTCTCGTACAATAAATAGTCGTTCAAACACCCCAGACATAAATAGATTATCTCGAAGGGTGAATAGGGAATCGACTTCAACTCCAACAGGTTCTCGAACTCCTTCCCGAAGTCGTTCAAATACTCCGGATATCTCTAAACGGAAAAATACTACAGGATTTTTACAGACTGAAAATCATGAAATGAAACCAATCAGAGAACCACTTACTAGCAGTAATTTTATACATCTTGGCGTTCCCGGTGAAATCAATTTTCCTTCTGCCAATATACGTGAATTAACAATTGGAGTCTTTCATGTCTTTAATCCAACGGAACATCAAATTTCTTGGAGTTTAACCCCAGCTGAAAATGCATTGTTTCGTCGTTTAGGGACCGCAACAAATGCTGCTACAAAAGTTGATGATGACATTTTCTTGGTAACAAAACCAAGGGGATTTCTAGGTCCAAAACATGCTGAAAGGGTTGATGTACATTTTCGTCCGTTAGGTGTTGGGACTTATATACAAAAATTTGTGTTGGAAGATGCTTCAGGAAATCTCACAAATAATGTAGATGCTGTTAGTATGAGCTTTCAAGGGATCGCTACTGAAAATACTTTTAGTACTTTATTACAAAAACATAAACCCTCAAAAAAAGAAGTGAAATTTGAAGTTGAAGGATCTGAGGTCAAGTTGCCCCCTACGAGGGTTGGAAAGCAAAGATCCATGGGTATTAAAATATCAAATGTTTCAAAGGAATCAATTAGACTGAATTGTAAAGTTGAAACTTCAACTGGTCCTGGAGGAAAATATGTTTTATCTCTTCCAATGAATAGTGTCGTAATTAAATCTGAGGGGTTTGCTATCCTTCCCGTTCGTTTTCAACCAAGAGCAGAAGGTGAAGTTAAGGGTATTGTTACAATACAATCGGCACATAACAACGAAGTTAAGGTCGATATTGTCGCAAAAGGCGTGTTGGACAATCGACACACCATATAGTCATTTTGGAGGTTTTCGAGAATTCCTTTTTTTTATCAATAGACTTTATTTTAAGATTGGACAATTAACATCATCATTCTTCATTGTAAATTTTTCTTGTTTTTTTAATTTCGTGGACAGGATCCCGGATCATTATTAATTTTTCGTAGTATTTAGAAAGTATAGTATATATATGTATGTTAATTAGCATCGTGGACCCGTTTTCACATTGTAGAAATTTTTTTAAAATTAGAAATTATAGTAATGTATTAACAAGACGTTAATATTGCGTGATTTATTAAATTTTGCATACCAGTAACAACAGTACCCATTCGAATTATTAACCGGTAATTTTTTTTTAGAAATCATATCTATAAAAAAGTTGTATATTTTTTTTTTTTTTTTTTTAAGAAATTTCGTGAAAATTTTTAAAGGTTAATTCCTATTTCGTTCTATAACTCTGCATTTAATTCAAAAGTACACATCAAAATTTTTTTCGAGATAATTTACAAAACAAACTTGAAGATATTTAATCCGCCTATTCTCAAAAAAGTTCAAAAATTGCGAACAAGCTCTAGTAGAAATATTGATAAATACCTGGTGTGCATTATTTAATTCAATCTCAGGGGCACTTATATCTGAATCACCAGCGATCAATGAATTCCTTTTTTAGAGGACAAAATAAATAATATCACTAGATGATAAATCATATCTACGATTTTAAGTGCCACGAGCTCGATAATGACGTTATTTTCGCGTGTAAGAAAGGGAGGAAAATGACAAATGAATTCATGCTAAATCTAGATTTATTGAGCTAGAGGAATATATAAATTAATTTGATAATATAATAATAAAAACGATTTCTAATTTTTGACACATTCTTTTTATTCACCAAAAAAAAAAATAAAAAAAAATAAATAAATAAACAAAAAGATTAGGAATCTATTTAATGGTTAGCCTTTTGAAGAAGAACCACTATTTTGCCTACTTGAAATGTTATCAAAAGGGACATTTTCAATCTTATAACCTTCACCAACTTCAAGAAGGCCTCTTCTAAGGATGAATTTTTCGTAAATTTCATAATCAAATTTTTGACTTGCTTCAAAAGCTTCCCTAATAGAAACTTTCCAATTTTCATGCTTTGAGTCGGTATCTGATTTTGAATCAAAATTGGCATCTTTAACTAAATTAAAAAAAGCATCCAACGCTTCACTGCAATTATCCAAATTTTCACGTAATTCCCATCTAAAGATCAATTGTCGTAAAGTTAGTCGTTAAATTTAAATGATAAGGGACCGATTGATCTATTAACTTACGTAGGCTTCGCATAACCTTTCCATTGAACCAGAAACTTTTCACGACCCTATAACGTAAGAACGATGGGTTAGCACGCGGGAATTGAACGATGCCGATGACAACACGAGAAGTATTTCACATACTTCTTCAAATTTCCTTTGAACTATCGAATCAACTTCATAAGTTTCAAATTTACTATATTTACGTCTTGGCATTTCTTCGATTTCTACCTCTTCTTCATATGACCCTTCGGTCTCTCCTGCCTCTACCTCTGATACGTCCATGTCAACACCGTCATCTTCGCCCTCCTCTAATTCTTCAAACTCCTCTACCTCCTCAAATTCTTCACCAAATTCTTCTTCCTCATCCTCATCTTGATTTGGATCATAATTTGATTCATCCCACGCCGCCGCTTTTGTAGAACTTAGCGTTCTCTTAGCTAAAAAAAAAAAAAAAAAAGAAAAAAAAAAGACAAAAAAATTAATTAATTAATTCAAGAATTGATGACGCATCATCTCATATTTACTTCTTCGTGGTCTTGTAGAGCTCATAGTTTAACTATTTTAATAAATTTTTTATCGTAACTTATTTATTTTTTTTTATTTTTTTTTCAAAAAGGTTCCACTTTTGTGAATGAATTGACGGCAGGAAAAGAGGGAACCAAGAACTTGAGCCTTTTTTTTTTTTTTTTTTTTTTTTTGATTTCACACGTTTAATAACGAAGAATCATAAAAAATAAAAATAATCCATAATACTGTAAATAAATAAATAAACAGAAAAAGAGAACCGAAAATTTTTTTATATATGCTTCATTAGGTCGCGATCCGATCATATGACCGATCTCGGTCCAAATCTTAAGGTTTGGCCGTCACGTGCTCAATTAATCAATTAATGATGTTTATTAAATAAGATTTAAAAACTAGTTCCGGAAACAGCAATCTGATCGATAATTACCTAATTAAAATAATGGGCAAAATTAAACTTATGACGAAAAATTGGTAAAACTTGGTTCAAGTTCAAAAAACCCAAAAAGACAAAGCATTTGAATTTATTTATTCGTCACACGTTAATTTCGGTAATGCCGGCCAAAAATCACGTAAAATCTTAAATGTATTTTAAAAGGTATTCTGGATTTGTTTTATATTTATAATTTTTTTAAAATTGGTTATTTAGCAAATATGTAAACACATATATACGTTGAATATGCAAATTATTGTACAAAAATGACTTATCTTTTATAAAGGTCTAAACCTCACTTGGAAGAGAAAGGTTTTGTTATAGCATCATTTTCAATGATTCATTGACAAAATTGTAATTAATGAAAGTTTTTTTTTTTTTGTTTTGCACGCGAAAGGAATCTAAAAATAAAGACATAAATTATATATTTTCAATATGTTTCCAAAAGTATTTCAAAAAGAAAATAATTCTAACAATTAACATGTTATCTACTTAAACAAGAAGGCATGTTTTTTTTTTTTTTACAAAAACGGAATATAATATATCATTTTTTACTGGATCTGTGAAAGAATCGGTAAACGCATTTTAATTTCGAACTTTAGCTATCCAACAATTGTGTTATCAAAGATGGAACCATTCAATGATTCGGTTGTGCTTTTATATTACCTTATTAACAAATAAACAACAAATATTAAAAAATAATAACAAGTTTCATGTTTTGACGCTTCATTAGTACTGTATATCTGGTATGATCTGCTCATGTCGTCAATCAAGAGATTTCGTTATTTAAAAAAGGTTTCTGTAAAAATGGGTTCAGAGCTTCGTGAAAAGAAAAACACATTATGCATTTATTTATAGATTTATATTGAAATAATTACCGGATAAGATTATAAATTTCTTGATAACAAAGAATTGACATTTTATACTTTAATTTAAACATTGGTTGAGTTTTTTTTTTTCAAGTATATAAACAGGAAAAAAAAAATTTATTTATTGTATATCTATTTTATAAATTTAATATATTGCTGTTTTAAATTACAAATTTAAAATAAAATATCCCTCTCTCTCTATATTTATATTTCAAATTTTGTATATTTACTTTTTGGCAAAAGGTTTAAGCTCAAAATTCTCGGAATATTTCCAATCTAAAGCTTCATATGCTTTAAAGTCGGTTGGATCTTTGTCTCCCTTCTTTTTATGTCTTAATCTAATGATATAATTTTTGCCAGGCTTGTATGGACGTTCTAATTTCCAAGAGAATGACTTCTCGCGAACCTTTGCACGGTCATCAATGGTATCAACATATCTATTATTAACAAAAGAATGAATATTAAACATAAAATCATTATAAATTTTCTTATCAAAGTCAATCATAATAAAAAAAAAAAAAAAAAATTGACATACTTGAAGTCTTTGGAAGTACCGGTACCGAGTTCGATAAAAATTAAATCTTCAGCGGGAGCTTTTTGGAAACCCTGTTTGAAACCAGTGCAGGACCATTGGACGAAACCGTCTTTGCCCAATTGCCATGTTTTTGGTCCTAATGACGCGACCTAGTTGAAAACGAAAAAAAATTTTTTTTCATAAATTATCACTAAAATTACCTTTTTTTTTTTTTAAAAAAAAAAAAAAAAAAAATACTGAATGTGATATATAAATATATACTTACTTTACAATTAATTCCATTAATGGCACGTTCTTCAATTGCTGGAGCTGGAGCAGTTAAACCACTAGCAGCCAAAAGACCTAGGATCAAAAAAGTGTTGGAAAAGAACTTCATTGTTTGAAATTAAAAAAGAAAGTGCGAGGTGATAAAAGTGGAAATGAGATGGGGTGTGTGGGAGGGATTAATCCTTGCTATAAAGAATGAATGCAAAGATTTTTTTTTTTTTTTGAAAAGGATGATTGGAAAGAGGAGTTTATAAAAATTTTACTCGGGAAATTCTCGAGGGTTTAAATACTTTTTTCTCAAGTACTCTTAAGTTGTATTCTTAATAATCTCTTGAAAACCTTATGATTGAACTTACCGAATTTGGTGATTTAATTTTGCATATCTTCTTTTCCTTCGCTGAACGAGAGAAACTTCTCTAGAAATGTAACGGTTATTTGTTCGATTTATTCGTGTTTTTTTTTTGTCATGATCTATGCATAACCCCTCGTTATTGGTGAATTATCGTACGACCGTTTAAAATATTTTATGGTGTCCAATTACCAATAATCCATTTCCTATTTTCGTACAAGAAAACCTTTTTAAAATCCCGGGAAAGCGTATGTTATCGTTAGAAATATTATATTGATTAAATGTTTAATTTTACAATCATCTGAAAATGACTTTATTGCTTCTTAATAAGTTTCCGACTTCTTTTTTTTGGAATTTTTCAAATATCTGTATAACCGACGCTTTAATTTATTACGCATTACGCAGAAAGTAGGTGTTTGTTCCTTTTGGTGAATCTCGATTGGATAAAAAATGTGTTAGTGAACATTGAACTAGCCTTACACATCCGTGACACCGTTCGTGGCACATATGCGAAATTGACAATTTTATTCAGAACATTGTTATTTTAAAAAGAATGTTATTGTTTTTCTTAACACATCCTCATACATTAATGCGTGTTATGATGACCAATTATTATAATCTCCCAACTATTATTAAAAAAATTGCAAGGCCTGTCTGTCATTTATATATTTTTATTTTATATATACAAAAAAAAAAAAGGAAACTTAATCTATCTGTATCAAGTAGGGAATCCAATCAGTCAATAATAAGTTCAAGCTATATGCGGTAGCTGTAGTTCTCTTCCTCCTCGATTTAATTATCAACCACAATGAAATCACTCATTTTAAGTTTTTAACTGTAAAGCTCTTGTCGTGTAGTGTAAATCATCAGCTGCATTCGTTTCGTCTTATTTGTCACAAAAGTGTTATAACTCAAAAATAATTTATATAAAAAAAAAAAAAATTTCTGACAGGAGTTGTGAAATGTAAATGAAATATATTCAAAGATGTCTTTACATGAATAACATCAAGGAGATAAGAATCAAAACTAATAGTTTAACTAAATTAATTTATCACTAAATTTCATATTAAATGTTCTCCTTTTTCAAAATCCAAGTTGCCCTAACCACAAACGATAAAAATAAATATCATACCAAGAAAAGTAATTTTCTTTTTGGAATATAATAAGGTTCGATATTAGGGAGAAAAAACACGGAGTGAAGAGGAAGAAAAACCCTTTATTTACAAAAGTTCGTTACGATCGTAAATCATTCGTGAGGAATTTTCACCAATTCGAATTTAGGCTTTGAAGACGAAATCGAAGGTCGTGGACGTTTTAGAATTAATTCACATTTATTACCTTAAAAATTTCAAAAAATTATGTGAAATCAATAAAGAACTACGATAGCATTTGGCATAAAAGACACAAATGAAATCCATAATAAAAACGAACCAACCTAAAAAGCGAGGAACTTACAAAGTTTTTGTCCTTCTGGACCTCTCCAATAAGGAGCATTATTTGTTCCGCAATTATGACACGCAAATTCAGGACGTTGTGTTCGTCTGAGCCGGACGGTTCCGTCCGGAGCTATTTCGGTTGGTCGATGAACTCCCTTGTTTTTTAAGCTTCAAAAAAAGATTAAAAGATTTATTTTATCATGGTAAATTCAAAATAAAGGTAGGTATGAAAATTTAAGGAACGTACTAAAGACCACAGGCGTTACACAACAAAGCAATTCCTTGCAAATCGCGTCTCCAAGCAGGGGTATCGTGGACACCACAATTCGAACACTGCACGATTTCATTCTGACGAATTCCTTCGATAAAAGTGGGAGAAGGTATAGAAGAAAACAAGCGGGAATATTCAGATTCTGATTTTCTACCTTTCTTTTTCTTCCCTTTTATCATTTGCGTTTCTGTCATGGCCATGTACTCTCTAAAGGATTGATTCGCCAGAGATGCGTTAACCACGTGATCATCAATCAGCTGTCCGTATCCTAAGGTGTTTGTGCCACTAGCGATTCCATAGTAAGGAGACGACGGTAAAGGACGCGCCTCGTTCCAATACGACGATTGATTATTCGATATCGGATTATCCCTGATGGACGTAAAAGGCCGACCGTAATCAACGGTGGCTTGCATCGTCACATTATTTTCAAAATTCAATAAACTTGGATCAATTCTGGTCGGTTCTAGCACGTAATTATTATTATTATTATTTGATATGACGTTTTGGTCAATTGCGGCTTGAGGAAGATATTGATAAACGTTTGCATAATAAGCACGTTCATTTAAATTTGGTTGATTGGAATTTTGTTGAAAACATTCGTCGTATTGCTGCTGTTCTTGAGTTGTTTCATGAGAGTCATTCCGCTCTGAAGCAAAGTTTGGAATTTCGTAAGTGACTTCTTCGTCAGTTGTAGAGGAATCGGAGACACTTTCTACAAGAGGAGTTACAAGGGTATCTTTTTGCGTGCATTCGTCCAAACTTGTAGAAGGAAGACGTTCATTATCAGTTTCGGATTCATTAGACTGATAATAAATTTCATCAGATTGGCAAGAATCTTGTGATGGTTGATTTGTACCATTAGTGCTTTCTTCATTAGATGCGTTACTTGCTTCCTCAAAAGAATCGTTTTGCGTATTTCCTGACATTTCGTTAGGGAGAAGATCACAAATCTACACGATGAAATAAAAATAAAAATAAAAAATAAAAGGTAAAATATATATATTTATATGAGATTTATATCGTACAAGAAATTATGTAATCGGTCTCAAAAAAAGCAGCCTACATTTACTTTTTTTCTTTTTTTTTTTTTTGCCTTTAGTTATGGACAATAAAAAAAAAAAAAAAAAAAAAAAAAAGTGAGACTGATAAATTAAATAAACTCACGATATCTATGTGACGCACGATTTCGATCCTTTAATTTATTATCGTTATAGTATGTAAAATCACTTTACGCCACGTGATAAAGCCACAAAAAGGAAATGACCTCGTATTTTTTTAGTTATAGATTATTCTTCTCACCAAGAACGAATTTTTTTTTTTTCAAGAATGACAAGTAATTTATAAACAAAGCGATTTAAAAGAAAATTTTACGGGAATATTTATGTCTTATTCATTAAATTATAAATATCTCGGGTAATAATTCTTTTCTTTAAAGTCCCATCATCGGCATAACCATTTCATTGGTATTATTGAAAATGTTAAAATATTGTTTAAGGGTGACGTAAATTGAGTATGTGAGTTAAAATATGATGCATAATGATCAATAATTTACTGTGTAAGAAGTATATGTAAATAAAAAAAAAAAAAAAAGAACAAAAAAAATAATTGCAAAGATGCATAATTTGATTGATTACTAAAAAAAAAAAAATAAATAAATTATTTACACAATAATATTGATGATATCAAGCATAAACTGATTTATACGCATTGCGGCTCACTACGGGCTAAGTTATTAAAAAACGACATGTATTTCAATTCGGAGGGCTCTCTTGAACACAATCATTTCTATTTTTGCAATTATTTATTAAGATAATGCGTCGAAACTAACGATAAAGTTTTACGGGTTCACATGGTAAAGTTGAGAAACTTAATCAGTTCTACTGTATATAAATCTATTTCTCTTCGCCGTCAACTTATAAAGAAAAAAAAAAAAAATAATAGTTGCATATTTAAATGTTAAGTGGAAATTTTTTAATATTATTTTTCAGTAAATAAATATATTTTATATATTTTGGAATTTCAAGACTCTGGAGATATTAATTTGTACGGTTTTACTTATTCAATCACGGCAATTAAATAAACTTTTGCCGTTATTTTTAGGACATTACGTATTTTGCATAAAATCACTTTTAATTTTCGCTTAATTAAGACCGAACATTATTCACGTGAAAACTGTCGGCAAGATTTAATTTATTTTGGAATTTTGGAATTAGGTTCGGCAAAAGAATTGATGGCTGTTGAGAAAGACACCTTTCAGATTAAAGGTGGGATCAATATTAACAGCTCCGCTGTGATGTTAGTAAAACAATGGAGATACTGAAACCCTTAAAAGTCAAAATTAAATGTTTTTTAAATATTTGAAATGGCGCGGTACTGAAATTCGTTAATAAGGTTTGCGGGATTTTGTTTTTTAACCGTATAAAAATACATGATTGTATTTTGCCTTGTATAATTAATTTTACGCGTATTTTTCTATTCGATCAAGCAATTTTTACTCCATTTCCGCAAAAGAAACGCGCGAGCTCTTTTATGGTCACAATGATTATATCGTCTGAGATGGTCGTACTTTCAGTTCTTGGAACTAAACAAGGACATCATCACCGAATCTGGTATAGCGACAGGAATTTGGATCGGGACTAGATGGTGCATGGTAGCAAAGACTTAAATCCAGTGACTTTCTTTAAGGACAGGGTATATATAGTTTGCACTATTTGCGCTTACCAATAGGAAAATTAGAATTCGTTTATCTTTAATTCTTTATCGTTATTTATGCACATATTTTGTAAATGGAATCCGATTCTATCATTGCAAAATAGTGTGAAAAGAAACATGATTCCAGACGCCATCATTTCTTGGTGAATGATGAAATTTAGGTCTTAAGGATCTTATTAATTTGGCTATTACTCGGCTCAAAGGTGCTTTCTGTAATGGAAGGTGAAGGTATGTACTTTTTAGTAAATAAGCATATGTAGTTTGCGGTCGCTTAAGTCTAAACAATTATTGTTATTTAACTAGAGCAAGAACAATATTGAGGTTCAATCAACTTCAAAATTTTGCGATATCTTTGCGAATTTTCTCTGCGAAAGAAATAAATAAATCAAGCCGATTCCCCAAGCAATTCTAAGAAAATAGCCTAATTAGATACTGCTAGGTTGTATGAATTTTAAAATAGTATTTATAACTCAATCATATCACAATTATATCATAAGGGGTGGCAGTTACAAATAAAGTAAGTTCTAAATTCTTTTTTTATTTTCATATAACAAAGTCACACTCAAGACCAGTGATTTAAGCGGCATTTGTAGAGTAAGTTGTATATACAAGAATATCATTTGAATTTTTTATTTGGTTTTTTGCATAATTGTTCTTGATCTGCTACTCTAGGATTCTGAAATAATGAACGTATGGTTTTCTCTCTAATAAATATTATCGAGATTAATATGTAGCTTATTTTTTTTTTAGGATTAAGGAATAAATTGTTATGCAACTGTATAAACAACCATTAATTGTAACTTTTAATCGTATATAACCCTTTTGCCCTTTAAAATTACCATTTTTCTGGGTCAAGCAACCCTATTTGTAACACCAGACTTTGTGGTATAAATGGCAATTTCCAAAACAGGAACAGTTATCATCATTTCTATTGGATTTAATACTCTAAATGTTGTAGTTGTTAAAATTGTCATACCAAGGTTGATTTCGGAAATCAACCGATAATAGTATGTGGGATGTGGGGCTGTGAAACATAGCCTCACATAAATAAATTAAAAATTAATTTTGGTGTGGAAATTTTTCCGAATAATAATAATGATGTTAAAATTTATTTTTCCTTTTATATTGCTTTCGCTAATATCAAGAACTGTTTATGCCCATGAACATCATAAACTTTTGGATAATGTTGGTGCAACCGACACACCCATTGACGGAATTCTATGGACTCATATAACTTTTATGTCTTTAGCGTTTGGGATAATATTTCCAACTGGTATGTAAAAATAATATATTTTATCTGGTAAAAAAAAAAAAATTTCGCATATCTTTACGTTGACGTCTACGAAGGAATAACCATTAAAATTTATTTTATAAAGGTATGGTCTTGGGTTTTAGTAGGTCTAAGTGGCATATCCCACTTCAAATCCTAGGTTCAATATTATCATTGATCGGTTATTTCCTTGGTCACGCTCATGGTGGAAGGCAATTTAGTGGTGATAATGTTCATGGATCTTTTGCTTCGATTGTTGTCTTAACTTTAATCAGCCAAGTTTCTTTGGGTATATATCTTAAATTACACTTCGAAACTGGTTTGAATAAATGGTTAAGACCACTTTCCGTAAAAATTCATAAATTAATTGGAATCAGTATGCCTATTATTGGTTACATGCAAATGTTATTCGGTGTTATAACCGCAACTGGATGGTGTCGGTAAGTAATATGAATCAATTATATTCTCATCATAACGACCTTTTCTAACAAATTATAATTTAATAGAGATGATCATTTGGGTCAATGTCTTGCTCATTTTATTATGGGGTCATCATTTATTGCTTATGGAATTACAACCATATTATTATTGAGAATCGGAAGTGAATGGCTTCGAAGTAAGGGAAAAACACAAGATTATTTTGACAGTTTGATCATCATGGCATGGGGATTCACGAACACTTGGACAGAACATAGGTTTATATTTTCCATTCATAATTGCTTTGATACTTAATAATTCTTTTTTTTTTTTTTTACTTACAATAATGATTTTTTATGTTCGATATTTAGATGGAATGAAGTGAGTTTTTAAAAAAAATATATATATTTAATTTTTTTTTTTTTGTTCTTAATCTATTTATGGCATTAATTTTTTTCTTTTATTTTAAAGCCATGGACTCATAAGGATTATCAGCACACAGCACTTGGAATAATGTGGTGGGCTGGTGGTTTGGTTGGATTTTATCTTTCAAGAAATGGAAAGAGAAATGTCTTTCCAGGACTCGTTATTTTATTTACTGGTTTCGTCATGAGCACTCATGCTCAGATGTTGGAAGTATCAACCTTAGTTCATTCAGTTTTCGGTTGTGCATTAATGGGTGCAGGTTTAATAAGGATTATTGAAGTATGCTTCTTTACAAAAAATGATGAATCAATTAAAATTATTCAACAATTGCCTCCATTCGTAAGTACAATAATTTATTTGATTTGAAAAAAAAATTTTACTTTATCAAAAGTATTAATATCATGTATCGATCATTGAAATAGCTTTTGATCCTTTCCGGCCTGTTGTTCATGGGAGCTAATGAAGAGCAACTCGATTATTTGAATGATAATTCGATTGATCCATATTCTTATTCTTTAATTCTTATTACAATTTCTTTCTTATTCTTCCTTTTAACTAATCTACTTATTGATCTTTACTGGAGATCAGGAAAAAATAATGGTGAACCAAAATATGATAAATTATCTAATCATCCAATTCCACTTGATACGCAAAATGGACGTACTAATCATGATTCCTTCACTTCACCTAATAATTATGAATTTAATTCTCTTTTGGTTGTACATGATCAATCTGAAGATGATGATGAAAAATAAAATCCAGCCTTTTATTATTTGTATTTAATAATTGTAATAATCAGATTTTAAAAAATGATACATATCATTACAGATAATTAAATGTATAATTTAAATGTGCAATACTGGTTTGGATCACAAAATAAATTATTTTTTTATAATTTCGGTTTGAATTATAAATATAAAAATTAATTTAAAAAGCTTTTATTATAAATTGGTTTTATAAATATTGTAATAGATTTTTTAGTATCTTTAATCACTTTAAAAAGAAAATTTATATTAAACATTTACACCTGCAATTATACATTAATAGCAAACCTTTTATAAGTACATTATTTTTTAAAAAAAATTACTATATGATCAAAAG